GCTGGTCGGGCTGCAGCAGCTGACCAGCACCGATTGTCTGGCACTCCCTAGTGAGATGAACCCAGTACCTCAGTTGAAAATGCAGAAATCACCGGTCTTCTGTGTCGCTGGCGCTGGGAGCTGGAGACTGGAGCTGTTCCTATTCAACCATCTTGCTCCGCCCCCGCATTTTTCCTCATCTTTATGGATTTATCTACCTATGGTCTTTGTTCTTGATGACCTTCAGATGGAGTTTTTGTGTGGTTGTCCTTTTTGTTGATGTTGATGCTATTGCTTTCTGTTTGTTGGTTTTTCTTTTAACAGTCAGGCCCCTCTTCTGCAGTTCTGCTGGAATTTGCTGGGGGTCCACTCCAGACCCTGTTTGCCTGGGTATCACCAATGGAGGCTGCAGAACAGCAAAGATTGCTGCATGCTCCTTCCTCTGGAAGCTTCATCCCAGAGGGGCACCCACCAGATGACAGCTGGAGCTCTCCTGTCTGTCGACCCCTGCTGGGAAGTGTCTCTCCATCAGGAGGCATGCAGCTCAGGGACCCACTTGAGGCAGCCTGTCTCTTAGCAGAGCTCGAATGCTGTGCTGGGAGATCCACTGCTCTCTTCAGAGCTGGTAGGCAGGAACATTCAAGTCTGCTGAAGCTATGGCCACAGCCACCCCTTCCTTCAAGTGCTCTGTCCCAGGGAGATGGGAGTTTTATCTACAAGCCCCTGATGGGGCTGCTGCCTTTCTTTCAGAGATGTCCTGCCCAGATAGGAGATATCTGGAGAGAGAGTCTGGCCACAGCGGCTTTGCAGCACTGAGGTTGGCTCTGCCCAATCCAAAATTCAGGGCAGCTTTGTTTACACTGTGAGGGGGAAACTGCCTACTCAAGTCTCAGTAATGGTGGATGCCCCTCCCCCCCCCAAGCTTGAGTCCCAGGTCATCTTCAGACTGCTGTGCTGGCAGCGAGAATTTCAAGCCAGTGGATCTTAGCTTGCTGGGCTCCATTGGGGTGGGATCTACTGAGCAAGACCACTTGGATTTCTGGCTTCAGTTCCATTTCCAGGGGAGTGAATGGTTCTGTCTTGCTAGCATTCCAGGCACCACTGGGGTATGAAAAAAAACTCCTGCAGCTAGCTTGGTGTCTGCCCAAACAGCTGCCCAGTTTTGTGCTTGAAACCGGGGCCCTTGTGGTGTAGGCACCCAAAGGAATCTCCTGGTCTGTGGGTTGTGAAGACTGGGAAAAGTATAGTATCTGGGCCAGAATGCACTGTCCTTCATTGCACAGTCCCTCATGGCTTCCCTTGGCTATGGGAGGGAGTTCCCTGACCCCTTGTGCTTCCCGGGTGAGGTGATGCCCCACCCTGCTTCAGTTCTCCCTCCGTGGGCTGCACCCACTGTCTAACCAGTCCCAATGAGATGAACTGGGTACCTCAGTTGGAAATGCAGAAATCACCCACCTTCTGCGTTGGTCTCACTGGGAGCTGCAGACCGGAGCTGTTCCTATTTGGCCATCTTGGCCTAATCATGCCATACTCCTATAATACTTTTTTGTACATTTTCTCACCACATACTCTGTGATCATTTCTTCATATTATAGTGATTTTGTAATATCATTTCCTAAAAAATCTTTAGCATAATTGATCAAATGTATTTTTCATTTTTGATAGTTTAGAAGTTTCTTCCAACTTTATAAGTTATTATTGACGATGACATGAATATATATAGGACTGCTATTGCATTTGGTATAAGCAGCAATGGCTTTTCAAGAGTTCTTATGCAGCGATTAATTTCAAATACTGTTTGAATCAATGACATTCATTAACCAGTTTTCCATCAATGCTCCCATTATAGCAGTGTTTTCTGATATTTATGTCAATAAATATCATTAATGTCAATATTTCTTGAAAACGCAGCAAGAACTTTAAATTCTTCCAATGTGATCATATGATTCATTCTTCTTCATTACTTGGACAATTAGACAAAACAAGAGCCACTTCATTACTTATGTTCTAAATTTATTTTTTCATTTTAATAAATTTTTGCTTTTGGTATGACCTGAAATTTTTCATTATGATTTGCTCCTCAATATCAGAATAACCTCTACTGATTTTACCACTCACCTTTATTTCATATTTCACACGTTTTTATCTTAATTATATACATGTAAATAAAAATTTTTAATTCTAAAATAAGGCACCTCTCACATATCTATATAAGAAATCTGTAATTTCTCACTTACTTCATTGAAACACTCCAAAACATCTTGCCAAATGCAGTATTTCTTCAAAACCCAGGAATTCTGATGAATTTGATATTATACAATTCCCACTTAAAAAGGGAAAAAATAGTACAGCAGATTTAGAATAGTATATACTGCTTATCAAGTATACTTAAAATGAAGCTTCATTTTGCAAAGGTGTCAATGAAAATCTAACCCTCCACTTACAATTTTATACATCTAATAAGTGGAAATATTTCCACAGAGTAGCTTCTAGACCCATACATTGTAAATCTCGTCTCTCCTATACTAACCTGTGGGTTACTTCTGGCGCCAGACCCTATAGGACAAGTTTCTATTACAATATGACCTCTGGACTTAATGTGACCCCACTGGGAAAGTTAGACCAGCAGAAAACAGAAGTATTTCTTGAAGTCATTTCTATTTCAGACAGCTTACATAGCTTTATTATATAGGGAAGTAACTGCGCAATATAAATATAATTCCCAACTCAACTTTTTAGCCAGATCCCAAAATGTCCACAGCCACTCCAGCACCTGATGTGACAGGAAACCTGACTAAGAGTGAGACAAAATGCAAAGAGAAATCATTCCTAATTGATTGCAGTTCAAATGTCTTACTTTTGCAAAATGAAAACATATGACCCTGCAAATATAATAGCAGGGCGGCTTGCACAACCTTGGAAGGAATGTGTGCAAGTGAGAGGCTGAAGTTTAAGCTTCGTAGCTTCACACTAATTCTACTCTTAACCGGACCATTCCTCAAAAGGGTATTGTTAATTCTACACTGAGTCTAAGAGGTAAGGCAGAAATCACTGTATTTTTGCTTCCCATGTATACCTTCTCATCAAGGACTGAATCATATACATTTTAGGACTATGATACACCTTTCCAACAGTACAAGCATGTGTGTGTATATCTAAGTCATACAAGATGCATAGCTTATAGGCATTGTAAAAATTTCAAATTATATTTTCCAAGTTCAGCATACAAAAATTTTAAATATGCAACTATATTGATTCATATATATTTGGGGACCTATATTTTTATTGCAGAAAACTGCCAATGAACTAAAAAGTGTGCTGCCAGCCTTAGACAAGGCAATTGTGGCTCTGAATGCCCTGGATAAAGCTGATGTCGCTGAATTAAGGTAACTCTCCTAAGTTTCTTTTGAATTGGAAAAGCTCAGAAAAAAAAAAACAACAACATAAATTCATGTTTACTAAGCCTATATTCCATTTTTAGCTTATATGCTAAGCCTATATTCCATTTTTTAATCTTGGTTTAAGATTTTTTACCCATCTTGGTTAAGTGTTCATTCTGTATGGTATATACTGTATCTTGTCAATTTTATGATGCCTTCAATTGTAAGGCTTATCAGTACTTTTTGTATCCTTAAGAAAAAATGCTGCCAGTTAAACTATGACGTGCTGTTTGTTATAAACTGAATCTCAATCTCTTTGATGTAAAAATGTGCATCTTAAAATTGACAAAATATAATATACAGTGAGCAAGAGGGAGTATCAGGAGATGACATCAGAGAAGTAACAAGGGCCAGTTCTTCCCCAGCACAGCCCCTCATGTACCTCATGACTTTGTTCCAGAAAGTTCTATTCTTTTAGCTTTTTTTTCTAGCAGATATTCCATAGAGAGTGATCAGTTCAAATTCCCTTTAGCCTAATTTCTGAGGGCCAGTGTGTCATAGTGGTTAAGCACATGGGCTCTGATACCAAGCTTCCTGGCTTGGAATCCTGGCACTGCCACTTTCTAGCTGTATAAGCTCTCTGTGCCTGAGCTTTCCTTTTGTGCAAGAGTGATTGCAGATGTTGAAAGGACTGAATGAGTTAATACCGGTAAAGTACTTGTAACAGAGGCTGGAATAAGACAACTGCTCAATAAAGGTTACTTTCATGATAAGAGGTTTCCTCTGATCAAGTAGGCCCTTTTCCCTGCCCTAGTAGTACTACAAAAGCTAAGAAAGCCAGCCTTGTCTTTGAACTCCTTGAGTATGTCTTGTTTGTTTGTTGTTTGTTTTTAAAGATCCTCCTTTGTTATATTGCTAATGTGTATTTTACTTTGCTCACTCCAAAATGCCACACGAATGAGGATGCCTTATAACCTGATCTCCATTGCTATTCTTGGACATGCAGCAGAGGCATCTAGCAGATGCACAGCTTAGTCCATTCTCTTTCCAAGCTGCTATTTCTATCATCAAAATGCCAATGATTGCCCCATGATAGTTTCATCCTTTGCCACTTTGCAACGTGAACCACTAGAAGCAGGAAGTAGACAGTAGAAAATGCAGATTGGAGAAAATCAGGAAAGATCCAAGACAGACTACTTCTGTGAAGTAATAAAGAATTTCAAAGCAAATTTCCAGTAGACAAGTCTCACTTTGAATCAAATATTTATTCCTGGAAAGTGGCACAAAGATTGAACTACAGTCAATTTAAGCCTGTTTCCCCTTTAATTTAAATTAAATTTCCTAGGTAATACATTTTATCCTAGTATTATATTCACATCGTATTTGTTTTAAATAGCGTCAAACCTGGGTAAAATTGAGGAAAGGTTCCTTATTGGAGCGCTCACTTCTCCTTTGTGGACCTTTTCTCTTTTCCTAGTTCCTTGGTTATCTTTCTCATTATTTCAAAAAGGCCAAGCTGATAATCTCAGAAAAGCAACCTGAAAATTTATTTCAGAATAAGGTGCTAATGACTGAGTTATTCAATCCATTTGAAAATGATCTTCATTTTAAAATTAGACTATTAAAGAGACTAAACATTAAATCAAATGAACACATAGGTTAGAATTTCTAGTTGTACAGACACTGGGACCTACCTAAGGCTGAAGGATGGAAGGAGGGAGACAGTCAGAAAATGTAACTATTACGTACTGGGCTTAGTACCAGGGTGATGAAATAACCTGTACAACAAACTCCCATGACACAAGTTTACCTGTATAACAAATCTGCACATGTACTCCTGAAACTGAAATAAAAGTTGAAAAAAAATTCTAGTTGTGAAATTCAAGGCAGGGGACCTTCTTGGTAAGCCCTTTGGATAATATCATGCATGTAAAGTTGGCTTGGTTTCCTTCCTTCTTTGGGAAGTCTGTGCGATTTTCACTTGGGGAGGCTCATTACCCTGTGTGGACCTACCCTGCCTTGTTCCAAGTTCCAAATGCTGGTGCACAGCAACCATCACCCCCTTGTGATTTCTCTTTGAAACTTGCTTCTTATAAATGTTATTCTGACCCTGACTTTCCAAAGCATCAACTTCTTACCTAACAGTCCAGTGGCCTGTCAACTGATTAAGACATAGTGAAGAGGCAGCTTCCAATGTTCCAATAATAAATACATTATTAATGACTTAAAGGACAAATTCGCATCCACCCTTCCTCCCCTGACTGTTTTATCTGTGATTTTTGCGGTGGGAATTTTAGATCAGGAAGAAGAAACAACAGCATGTGTTTAAGGGGAGTTGGCTGTTACACTACTTCTTAAGTCACGAGAATAGGGCTGACTCCGAGCGCATACATGTGTACAGTGTCTCTGTGAAGTAGTCATCAGTAAATCAATCCTGGACTGAAATAAGAGAGGGGTTTCTATTTTTAAATAACTCTGCATTGAAGACTTTTCTTTTTTTTTTTTTTTTTTTTTTTTTTTTTTTTTTGAGACAGTGTGTCTAGCTTTGTCACCCAGGCTGGAGAACAGTGGCGTGATCTTGGCTCACTCCAGCCTCCGCTTCCTGGGTTCCAGCGATTCTCCTGCTTCAGTCACCAAGTAGCTGGGACTATAGGCCCCCGCCACCATACCCAGCTAATTTTTTTATTTTTGTACAGACAGGGTTTCGCAAAGTTGGCCAGGCTGGTCTCAAACTCCTGACCTCAAGTGATCTGCCCACCTCGGCCTCCCAAAGTGCAGGGATTACAGGCATGAGCCACCATGCCCAGCCCAAGACTTTTTATAATAAAATTAGCCTCTAACTCAGATGTAGTACTTATTTAAGTTTTATGCATTTCATCTTCCTAAAACTATGATATCCTTATATTTAAGACACCCAATCTTTAAAAAATACCTAAATAATTAAATAGCTGTATGTTGACAAATAGTTTTCCTTGTCCAAATGTGTGTTAAAAAATCTGTGTATATTGTCTTCTGAGATATTTACAGGGTGCATTTCATTTTTAATTGTGAAGTTGATGAGATTTTCATCATCTATTACAGAGTATACACACGGCCTCCCTTCCTCGTACTGACTGTCATGAATGCAGTGTGTATACTTCTGCAAAAGAAACCTAACTGGGCAACGGCAAAGTTACTTCTTTCAGAAACTGGTTTCCTGAAAAAATTGATTAACCTTGACAAGGACAGCATACCTGATAAGGTAAAAAGTTGATCTGTAATTGATGCATCTCATATTTACACTCTGTAGGATCAAACAGACCACCTGCTATCTAAATTGTTCTATTCTTAGATGGAGAAACTATTCTCTAGGAAAATAGCTCTATTCTTCCAGGCAAGAGAGGAGATGCCTAGTTGGATAGGGAAAAGAAATCCCAGTCTGAGAAAAATTTCATTCTGATTATGGCTCCCAAAAGTAGATGAGAAATACAGTATATCTAACTCCAAACTGTGTGTGATACCATTTAGAAATAGAGGTGGACCTGTGGGTATGTGACACAGCTAAGGTAGAGAACATCCTCAGAGAGCCCCAGTGTGCCCCAGGTCACATCACCATTACTGACCAGACAGACCTTTGAATAGGGACTGTGCCTGGCCAATATGCCACCTGGGGGACAGAAGGAAGAGGATGGTATTCCTAGTCACCTCACACCTGAAATGCACAAGGAGACTTCAGAATTTTTAGACATCGAATTCCTAAAGCTGGAGAAAGTTAATCTGTATTGTTTTTGTTTTAAAAGTTTCTTTTTAAAAAGTATAGCAAAGCTACTGCAACAACAGTAGCAATAGCAGGATGTTTATAACAAAGACTTTTTCTCTCCTGGTACTAGGTTTTGTTGTTGTTTTGTTTTGTGTTTTGTTTGTTTTTTGTTTTGAGATGGAGTCTCACTCTGATGCCCAGGCTGGAGATCTCAGCTCACTGCAACCTCCACCCCCCGGGGTTCAAGCGATTCTCCTGCCTTAGCCTCCTGAGTAGCTGAGACTACAGGTGCCCGCCACTATGCCCAGCTAATTTTGTATTTTTGGTGGAGACAGGGTTTCACCACGTTGGGCAGGCTGGTCTTGAACTCCTAAGCTTGTGATCTGCTCCCCTTGGCCTCCCAAAGTGCTGGGATTACAGGCGGGAACCACCTTGCCCAACCACTAGGGTCATTTTCGTAGCCAGGCATGTGTCTTTGATTCTACTATTAAAGATAAGTTATTTATTTTTTTTTTTTAGACAGAGTCTCACTCTATGCACTCACTGGAGTACAGTGGTGTGATCTTGGCTCACTGCAACCTCTGCCTCCCGAGTTCAAGTGATTCTCGTGCCTCAGGTTCCCCAGTAGCTAGGATTACAGGCGTGTGCCATCATGCCCAGCTAATTTTTGTATTTTTAGTAGAGACAGGATTTCACCATGTTGGCCAGACTGGTCTCAAACTCCTGACCTCTGGTGACCCACCCACCTTGGCCTCCCAAAGTGCTCAGTTTATAGGCATTAGCCACCATGCCCCGCCTGAATATTTTAATATGAAATAAAGTTTCAATCTAGTGTAGACTGGGGAAAACTTCAGGTGAATAATATTTCTTCCTAATGTAATACATTAACTGTGTACTCTCTAGGTTTTCATGAAGCTAAAAAAAATTTTAACCTTACCTGATTTCAACCCAAACAAGATTGCGCTGGTTTCTGTTGCTTGTTGCTCCCTGTGCCAGTGGGTTATAGCTTTGAATAACTACCATGAAGTACAGAAGGTATGCTTTTCCTCCTAAACATCTGTCATGATTTGAAAGTGGCATGTCAATGTCCCAGAAATAATTTTTATTTAACAATACTCAAGTGAACTTGAGTGGAAAGGATACCTAAGGAGAAACACTTTAATCAAATATATTATTCTAACTCACACAGATGTCAAGTGCTCCCATTAAATTTGTTATTTATTGACAACTATGCTAGTATTTGTTTATTTCATTTTATTGTTTCACCATAATAGGCTACTTTGTACACCACATATACACATAGTTCTAGGAAAGTTTAATTGTAACAATGGACATCTGTAAATGTCTTTCAAATATAAATGACATTTTTAACGATACACCTGACTTTTTTTTGACACTTAAATGTTCTGACATTCTCTTTAAGGTTGTGGGCCCTAAACAAATCCAAGTAGCTGAAGCTCAAAACGTCCTTAAAATTGCGCGACAAAGACTGGCTGAGAAACAAAGAGGTTTACAGCTGGTAAGAAATACTTTTACTTGTTCAGTTCTCACAATAAGACAAAACACCAGGACAATGTAATTATCTCAGGAGAGCTTATCAGTTTCAGATAAAATGGAAATAATAATATAGGTAGTGAAAAGATTAATTGTGAGGATTAAGTAAATAATATTATTGGTAATAATATTAATAATATATATAAAACTTTTAGTGCCTACCACATAATAAAACACTCTATAGAGTTCATTATTATTGTCTTTATAATATTTTAATTTACTATTTCACCAAATTTCTCTCAGGAGATCTCTACAACTTCAGTTTACCAAAGCCTTAAACAGTATCAATCTGTGGGGTTTTTTTCTTTTCAATCTGTGTTCTTTAAAAAACTGTACTTTGTGGGGCGCCGTGGCTCACGCCTGTAATCCCAGCACTTTGGGAGGCTGAGGCAGGTGGATCACCTGAGGTCAGGAGTTCAAGACCAGCCTGGCCAATATGGTGAAACCCCATCTCTACTAAAAATACAAAAATTAGCCAGGCGTGGTGGCAGGCGCCTGAAATCCCAGCTACTTCGGAGGCCGAGGCAGGAGAATCTCTTGAACCCGGGAGAAGGAGGTTGCAGTGAGCCAAGACTGCACCATTACACTCCAGCTTGGGCAACAAGAGCAAAATTCCGTCTCAAAAAAAAAAAATCCAGCTGTGCTCAACCTGTTTATATCATTACCCTGTTGCTTTGTAAAGGCATGATTATTCCTTAAATGTCTTGATTTTAAATTAAAATACAGTATCATTATCATTATGAGAACTGGAACTAGAATTGCTATCCCTGTTACCTATTTAGCTCACATACATTTTGAGAGTAGGCAAAATAATACATTTCAGAGATGGCAAACAGGCAAATTCAGTCCATTGACATCTTTTGACCTGTTACAGTCTTCCCACCCCTCACCTCATTTTGATATAATCCACATTTTGAAATCTGGGAATTTTACTTAATATCTGATTTTCTGTCTTTTCCTGAAAACTCAGATAGCTGGCAACTCTGGGCTAGCATTCCCACTTGGCTGTAGGCAGCCCCCACTCACTTCAAGCATTTCTGCTACCTGCTTGGCCCCATAGGCATTTCAGGCAAACTGAGATATATTAAAAAGGATTGGCTTAGGATTGTCTTGGAAATGTGGGCTCCTTTTTGGTTCCATATGAACTTTAAAGCAGTTTTTTCCAATTCTGTGAAGAAACATCATTGTAGCTTGATGTAGGATGGCATCTGAATCTATGAAATTCACCTTGGGCAGCTATGGCCGTTTTCAATGATATTGAGTTCTTCCTATCATAGAGCATGTGGTAATTGTTTCTTCCAATTTGTTTGTGTCCCTTTTATTTCACTGAGCAGTGTTTGTACAGTTCTCGCTTATAAGAGGTCACTTTGGAACTCGGGGAAGGGGAACCATCACACACTGGCGCTAAATCACGGGGAAGGGGGGAGGGGGGAGGGATTGCACTGGGGTTATACCGCATGATGTAATATGACGAGTTGATGGGTGCTGACGAGTTGATGGGTGCAGCACACCAACATGGCACAAGTATATATATGTAACAAACCTGCACGTTATGCACATGTACCCTAGAACTTAAAGTATAATAATAAAAAAATTAATTAATTAATTAATTAAATATTTACCAAAAAAAGGATTGGATATTTTTGAAGGAAATAAACAAATTTGAACTGAATTTACTTTATATAGATATATCATTTCTTGCTAATATTTTATTGTAGCTTATAGTCTATAGAGTTTTGTTTTGATGGGTGCTAACAATAGTTAATGTTTATTTAGCACTTACTGTGTTCCAAGCACTGTGCTCATTTAATCCACATTTAATCCTCGCCACAACATTTCAAAGTAGATGTTTATAAATGATAAAACTAAATTTTAAAGATTTAGTAAATTTGTTCAAGATCTTAAGCTAATAAGTGATGGTGCCCATGTTCTAACCTAGGTCTCTCTAACTCTAAAGTCCATGCACTTATTGACCTTTTAAACTGCTACATTTTAAAATATTTATATCCAGAAGTGATATCCAAAATATTTAGCAACCAGTGTGGCATAGGCACCAACTGATCAGAATGGACATTTGTCGTGCAGGTAGAAGCAGAGTCTTGGAGCCTACAGCTGAGTTTGAAGAGAAGGTATGGGGCCAGGATAGGCAATGTGTGGCCATAGAGGTGCTCCTTGGGATATGGAGCAGGACCCGTTAGCAATCACTACAGAAATATGTCAACATTTTCGCAGTTGTTGGTGCCTGTGTAGTTTATACCACTGAATATCAGCCCTATTTCTGTCTCAGAATGGAAGAAACCCAAGAAAGGAAAAAAATTTTTCTTCAAAACTTTAAGAATAATATATTTAAACATTATACAATTTGGAAGAAAGAGCATTCAAGAAGAAATAATTTTTAGTTTAATGAAAGTATTTGTTCCTTTTTTGCAACAATTACTAGAAACTCTATGTAAATAGATTTAAAAACCTGAATGATCTGCCCTGTTTTCTGGGACATTTTTAGTCACTGAGAGTCCATTAAAAAAAAAAACAACTTGAAAGCTTAAACAATCCCAAAAGCATGGATTATAAAAGAAATCATAGATAGAACAACCAGAATGAAGACAAGGAAATAGAGAACCTGAACAACTCAGTAAACCAACTAGACCTAACAGACATTTTCAGAATACTCCACCCAACAACAACAGAATACACATTCTTCTCAATTGCACCTGAGATATTCTCCAGGGTAGACCATATGTTAGGCCACAAAATAAGTCTCAATAGATTTTAAAAGACATATGCCACAAAAGCACCTTGTCTGGCAATAATAACATGAAGGTTGAAATTAGTAACAGAGGAAAAATGGAAAATTTACAAGTAGTTGACTAACTCATTTTTAAACAACCAGTGACTCACAGAAGAAATCACAAGGGAAATTAGAAAATACTTGGAGACAAATCAAATGCAACAACCAAAACAAATGGGATACAGCAAAAGAAATGCTCAGAGAGAAATTTATAGTTGTAAATGCCTGCATTTAAAAAGAAAAATATAAAATCAGTAACCTAACTTCACACTGGAAGGAACTAAACAAAGAAGAACGAACCAAACCCAAAGCTAGCAGAAGAAAAGAAATAATAAAGATTAGAGTAGAGATAAACAAAATAGAGAATAGAAAAAAAAATAGCAAAAATCAATGAAACCAAAAGTTGGTTCTTTGAAAAGATCATCAAATGAACAAATCTCTAGGGGAAACAAAAAGAGAGAGAAAGAAAGAAGAAAGAATTTCTAGACTTCAAGACAGGTCTTTTTAAATGACCCAGTCAGATAAAAAAGAGAAAGAAGAAATAATTTAAAAGAACGAAAAAAGCCTTCCTCACATATGGGACACTATCAAGTGAAAAAATATTCAGATTTTGGGAGTTCCAAGAGAAGAGATGAGAAACGGCATCGAAACCTATTTAATAAAATAATTTCTGAAAACTTCCCAAGTCTTCAGAGAGATATAGACATTCAGATCAGGAAACTCGTAAATCCCCAAAGAGATTTAGCCCAAACAGTTTCTCTCTGAGATACATTATAGTCAAACTGTCAAAAGTCAAAGGCAAAGAGAAAATTCCAAAAACAGCAAAAGCATCATGTTACACGTAAGGGAACCTCCATGAGAACAACAGCAGATTTCTTAGCAGAAACAAAAGGCCAGTGGAGACTGTGTATTTATAACACTGTCATTTGTTTTTAATTACAATATTTTTAAATGGTAGGGAGAAAAAGACAAACTGTACATTCCAGCCAGAGCCACATTACTTTCCGTCTCTCAACCACAGCCTTCATGAGAAGTTTCTAGTATTTGAACTCATTAAAATCCAATCAATATACTTAAAATGTATATTTTTTACACTTAATATTTTAAAATTTAGCTTAGTAGTTACCTCCATCAGTTTTAAGCCCTTCATGGAAATTTTCTCCTCACTCAGGTACATACTTCCTTCCACTTAAAAATAGGTTTTTTGTTTGCCTGGATCCTAATATAAAAAAAAAATTCGGGAAAATCTAAGGAAATTTGGGGAAAAAAACAATGCCAGAACTTATTAAATCACATGAGCATTCATCAAAAACATTACCTTTGGGGACTGCAATGCTCATCATATAATAGAACATTTCATATGTTTAAGTTAATCAATAGGCCCCATACGTTAATATTTAAATAACTCACTGGGTTGTAAGTAACATGAGAGGAGTTTTCTCAAAGGAATCGAAATGGGTGATTGAGCAAGCAGACAAAAACAACATAACATATGAAAGTGCAAACAACCCATAATTGTTATGGGTGAGCCAGAAATAAATTCTAAATCATTAAACATGCCAAAAGTAGCATATATATATATGTGTGTGTGTGTATTATATATATATACACACACACAAATTAGGTATATATTTTCACCAGGATAGCGTCTTAAAGAGAAATTACAAATCATGATAAGCACAATTTTGTCTTTATAATTGTGTTTTACATACCATGTTCAAGTCTCCATGCTAAACCCTCAACATAAAGGTAAGACTGTAAGACCACAATCCAAGAGATGATATCAGGAAACTTAAAATTACTTCTCAAACAACTGTTATAAACAAACATCAGTGTAGATTTGACAAGGTTGAGACTTCATGACAGCTGGAAGTTGATCAGGATATTACAGAATATTTGCCTAGGATTTATACCCCTTTAAGGGAAGGGCCAAGGTATAAAGGATGTGAGCCAAATCCCAGAGACAAGAAGCTTAAGGAATGTTGGGGAGATAAGGAATAAACCAATTTGGATAAAGAGTAATATAATTGGAAAGGAGTAATAAAGGAAATGAAATCGGGAAGGAAGGTTGGGGTCAGGTTGTGGAGGCATTGGTTGACAGCCAAAACTCTGGACTATATCCTTAATCCATTATTTCCATAAGAATTCACCAAACGCTTTTGAGCAGTGGTGTAATCAAGGTAAGTGATAATTTAAAATTATTTTGGGGAAAAGACCATCTCTTCACTAAATGGTGTGGATATCTATATCCAGAAGAATGAAACTAGACCCCTATCTCTCACCATACACAAAAATTATATCAAAATGAATTACAGATTTAAATCTAATACCTCAAACTATGAAACTTCTATGATAAAACGTTGGGGAAAATCTCCAGGACATTGGTCTGGGCAAAAATTTCTTGAGTAACACCCCACAAGCACAGGTAACCAAAGCAAACATGGGCTAATGGGATCACATTGAGTTAAAAAGCTTTTGCACAATAAAGGAAACACTCAACAAAGTGAAGAGACAGCCCACAGAATAGGAGAAATTATTTGCAAACTACCCATCTGACAAGGGATGAAAAAACAGAATATATAAGGAGCTCAAACATCTCTATAGAAAAAAATCAAATAATCCAATTTGAAAATGAGTAAAAGGCTTGAATGGATACTTCTCTTTTTTTTTTTTTTTCCATTATAATTTAAGTTCTAGGGTACATGTGCATAACGTGCAGGTTTGTTACATATGTATACTTGCGCCATGTTGGTGTGCTGCTCCCATCAACTCGTCAGCACCCATCAACTCGTCATTTACATCAGGTATAACTCCCAATGCCATCCCTCCCCCATCCCCCCTCCCCGTGATAGGCCCCGGTGTGTGATGTTCCCCTTCCCGAGTCCAGGTGATCTCATTGTTCAGTTCCCACCTATGAGTGAGAACATGCGGTGTTTGGTTTTCTGTTCTTGCGATAGTTTGCTGAGAATGATGGTTTCCAGCTGCATCCATGTCCCTACAAAGGACACAAACTCATCCTTTTTTATGGCTGCATAGTATTCCATGGTGTATATGTGCCACATTTTCTTAATCCAGTCTGTCACTGGTGGACATTTGGGTTGATTCAGGACATACCAATGGCAAACAGGCATATAAAAAGGTGCTCCTATCACTGATCATCAGAGAAATGCAAATAAAAACTACAGCGAGATATCATCTCACTCTAATTAAAATGGCTTTTATCCAAAAGACAGGCAATAACCAAATGCTGATAAGGATGTGGAGAAAAGGGAACCGTTATACACTGCTGGTGGGAATGTAAATTAGGACAACCACTATGGAGAAGTTTGGCGGTTCCTCAAAAAACTAAAAATAGAGCTACCATATGATCCAGCAATTCCGCTGCTAGGTATATACCCAAAAGAAAGGAACTCAGTATATCGAAGAGATAACTGCACTTCCATGTTTGTTGCAGCACTGTTCACGGTAGTCAAAATTTGGAAGTAACCCAAGTGTCCATCAACAGATGAATGGATAATGAAAATGTTGTGCTTATACACAATGGAGTATTATTCAACCATTAAAAAGAATGAGATCCTGTCATTTGCAACAACATTGGTGGAACTGGAGGTCATTATGCAAGTGAAATAAGCCAGGCGCAGAAAGACAAACATGGCATGTTCTCACTTACTTGTGAGATCTAAAAATCAAAACAATTGAACTCATGGAGATAGAGGGCAGAAAGATGATTACCAGAGGCTGGGAAGGTATGAGGGCGGTAAGGATGGTTAATGGATACGAAAAATAGAAAGAATGAATAAGACCTAGTATGTGATAGAGTAACAGGGTGATTGTAGTCAATAATAATTTAATTGTACACTTAAAATAACTTAAAGAGTATAATTGGATTGTTTGTAACACAAAGGATAAATGCTCAAGGGGATAGATACCCCCTTCCCCATGATATGATGATTACACATTGCATGCCTGTATCAAAACATCTCATGTACCCCCTAAATATATATATACATACTATGTACCCACAAATAAAAATAAAAAATTATTTTGTCAGCTATTCATGAAAATATGTTTTCCACTAACACTGTAAGGATGGTTTAACAGTTGATTCATCATACAGCTTAAATTAAAAAATTCATTCGGTCCCCTGGTCTGTTCAGTACATCTGAGGTGAAAAAAAGTTCAACCATTTTCTTAGAAAAAGAATCTAAATAAGATATAAAATTTTATTCACGAAAAATAAATCAGAGGTTGATGAATCTACAAATGCTAGGATTGTTTAAAAAAAAAAAAAAGCCTATTGAAGCAAGATGGCATTTAAAAATCTACAAATTTCAATATCAATGAATCATTTCATTTCTACAATGTCCATTTTCATTGGTAATATAATCCCTCCAGAAAGATTTTCCACGATGTGAAAATGAAATGGTAACACTATATTTATATAAATGACAGATAAAGTCTTGAAGCAAAATGAGAGTAAGATATTTTTCTCAATAATGAATTAATTATCTTTCAGGTTGAAGAACATTTGCTGTTTTTACAGGCAGCTTACAAAGATACCGTTGCTGAAAAACAACTATTAGCAAATCGGAAAAAAATGGCCAGCAGGCGCTTTCAGTGCGCGTCAGTCTTACTAACTGTCCTGGAAGATGAGAAGGCAGGACTTTCTTTGGTCTTATATCTCCTCCATAATTTCTACTGGGCGCAACAACCCCCAAGATGTTATTTTCACTGCAGGCTGTATCATATACCTTTTAAAGCTATCTTACTATCCAGTTTCTCATTGGGATCAGTAGACATCCTATTCACATAAAGAAATCCTGTTTGAGTCGTCTCAAAACAGAAGTAACAGACTACAAGTATCTGACATTATTTCCTGATCTGAAGACATCAGCACACTTTTGTCTGATGAGGCCCAAAGTAAACCTTTCAATGAAAATGTCATTAGTTTTCCTTTTCTAGCACTGGGACAACCCAAGCTGAACATATAAAACATGGTGGAACCACAAAGGAGAAGATGTCATTAGGAAAGAAAAAGAAAATTCTCTCTTTTTTTTTTTTTAAGTGAAAGTAGGTTTATTAAGAAAGTAAAGGAATAAAGAATGGTTACTCCATAGGCAGAGCAGCTGAAAAAGAAAATTTTCTTTTGTTCTGTCAGCCTTCTGAACCCTTTTAGCTCATCTTTTTACTTCTCCTCTGGCTCATCTGGCTTCTCTATGGTTGAATCTCTAGTAAGCCAAGTAGAATCTCAGTTTAGTTACACCTCAGCTATCTTAAGGGATGGATGCTATAAAATTCTCAAGATAATTTTAATTTAGTTTAATTTTTTAAATAAATACATATCATAGAAGGTCAAGAGGAAGGATTTTATGAAAACAGACCAATCAAAGGGAGATGATAGCTCTCAGAGGCAGTTGGATGTCCCTGAGAGTCAAGTGTATAGATTGAGATGCTATCCCAGATGGTGAGCACCAGAAAAGAGGGCTCTTGCTTAACATGCTTTATTTATCGACCAGTCAAGCACATGCATGATCAAAGAAGCCATATACAGCCAGAGAATATGGGTTCAGAGCCCAGCTGCACCCCTTAGAAGCTTAGTGATCTTGACCAAGTAGTTTAACTTCTCTAAACTCAACTTCAAATGCGGTATCAAATGAAGTTTTCAAAGTAAAATGCCTGGTAGATAAGTAAAGATTCAGTAAATATGGGTTGTTGTTGTTATTATTGTTGTTGTTGAATACTATTAATAGTATATTATAATAAATTGATACTTTATAAACTGTCCTGCTTTGGCTGGGCATGGTGGCTCATGTCTGTAATCCCAGCTCTTTGGGAGGCCAAGGCTGGAGGATTGCTTGAGATCAAGAGTTTAAGACCAACCTGGGCAATGTAGCAAGACCCTGTCTCTAAAAATAAATAAATAAATAAATAACTGAGCCTGGTGGCACATGCCTGTCATCCTAAGCCACTTGGAAGGCTGAGGTGGGAGGAGGATCACATGAGCCCAAGAGATCAAGGCTGTCCAGCCTAGGCTACTAAGAGAAGACCTTGTCTCTAAAAGAAAAAAAAAAAATTGTCCTGTTTTATTACACAAAGGATTTTAAATGGCTGTGTATCTATCTTAGCAAATATGACACTATTAGCAAACTCAAGAATAAGACTAATTTTTCCCTCAGAAAACAGTTTATTTTTCAATATTATCCGTTGTTAACTTTGATACAGCCACAGCTTGAGAACAGCAGTAGTAATTGCAATGATAGATCCAACTTGGAGATTAATTTTAAAATACCTTATGATAATATATTGTATATAGAATAACTCATTTCTATTTTAACATTTAGACTCGATGGCAAGAAACAATCAATCAAATAGATAACAAATTAGAAGGAATTTTGGGTGACATACTTCTTTCAGCAGCATGCATTGTATACAGTGGAATTTTAACACCAGAATTTCGCCAGTTGATTGTGAATAAATGGGAGACTTTCTGCACTGAAAATGGCATTTCTTTGTCTTCCAACTTCTCTTTAATTAAAGTTATGGCACAAAAATATGAGGTAATAACATATTTCTATTATCCAGTTAAGTGGCTATTAGTGTTGATTTGGGTTTTAGCTGTATGTGTAGTTTTGGGCTTGGATGTTGTCCTAGAATTATTTTGATAAATGAAAATATTTTGTTAATAGTTTGTTTCAGGTCTTAATTTTTTTTATTTATAGCCCTAATGCCTCAATAAGTTGTATCTCTCCTGTTTCTCATACTGAGCAAAAGTCACAAAATATCTCTTTTCCCACCGTAATCCTATTACCCTGTCTCAATGAATATAGGCAATTTCTCTCTCTGAAACCTCTTTCATTTAATACAATTGAACTTATTGAACCACAGGGAGTGTTCTTAGACACAGCCAAAAATGTAGAACTACATTTATTAACTTAGATACTTATTGTCTGTTTATGTAAATCCTATGCTGATGTTTAAAGGATAAAAGAGAAATGCACCTAGCTTTTGTTAATCCTCCAAGAGTAATTTTAGATTGGATCCCCACTGATAATTTCCCTTAAATTGACCATGCAACCTACAAAATCTTAGAAACAAATACTGTCTTCACATTTTCATAATGCTAATAACCAATTTAAACTCAAATATAACAGTTATTACATTAGGTGTACATGGACTAAATGTTCCAGTAACAAGTCTAAGATTGTGGCCAGGTGCGGTGGCTCATGCCTGTTATGCCAGAACTTTGGGACGCCCAGATAGGAGGAACTCTTGAGTGTAGGAATTCAAGACCAGCCTGTCTCTACAAAAAATTAAAAAAATAGCCAACCTGGGCGATGTAGAAAGACCCTGTCTAAAAAAAAAAAAATTACTGAGCATGGTGCCACATGCCTGTCATCCTAAGCCTAAGCCACTTGGAAGGCTGAGGTGGGAGGATCACATGAGCCCAAGAGATCAAGGCTGCAGTGAGCTATGATGGTGCCCTTGCATTCCAGCCTAGGCTACTCAGAGAAGACCCTGTCTCTAAAAGAAAAAACAATTGTCTTGCTTTGTTACACAAAGGATTTTATCTATCTTAACAAATATGACACTATTAGCAAACCCAAGAATAAGATTAATTTTCCTCTCAGAAAACAGTTTATTTTTCAATATTATCCATTATTAACTTTTGTACAATCACAGCTTGAGAACAGCAGTAGTAATTGTAATGATAGATCACAATCATTGCAATGATTGCACGTGCACAATGGTGGCACATGCCTATAGTCCTAACTACTTAGGAGGCTGAGGTGGAAGGATCACTTGAGTCCAGGAGGTCAAGGCTGCAGTGAGGCATGATCATGCCATTGCACTCCAGCATGGGAGACAGGCCAAGTCTCTGTCGCTCTCTCTCTACATATGTGTGTGTGTGTGTGTGTATATATATATTTTATATATATGTATACATATAGCATATGTGTATACTACATATGTAGAGAGACCTCAAGAAATCCTCATAAAGTTATGACTATACATATATACTATATATACACATATACACTTATATATACACACACATATCACTACTTAGTTATATATACACTCCGTATATGGAGTATATAACACAGTATTAGTTACATATGTAGCATACATAATGCCTAGTTACATATATACACATATATACCATAATGGTACATACTAATGATATACATATATACACATATTATCCATATGTACATGCATGCTATGTGTTATGTGTGGCTACATACATATTACGTGATACCCTATATGTATACATACAGTATATCATCTCTATATGTATATATATATATTTATATAGTAAGAGAGACCAAAGCAATCCTCAATATTAAAGCTTATTATAAGAGCTACTATAACAGGTTATAAACCAAACACAAAATAGAAAACATACATTATTATAAAATAAAAACATACATTTATTTATAACAGGACACCATCTAAAACATAAAGGGCAAAAGTTGAGAGTCAGAAATGGGAGGCAGTTCGTTAGTAGATTACAAAAACAAAAGGGACAAACATAGGATGTTAAGCCATTAAAAGCGAGCCTCTCACAGACGAAGCCTCACTTTACAATAGGAATTGGTCGTTAATTCTCCAAGCAAATGTGAAAACAATTTCTACAAACTTGTTAACGCCTAATTAGCTATGGATCTCAGAATGATATAAGGCGCAAATATTGTAAAAGAACTCTAGCGGGAAAAATAGACAAATCTACAATCATTAGTGGAAGGGCATTTTAATACCCTTCTTCTGCTAACTCAGAACAAGCACACAAAATCGTAAGGAATTAGAGAAGCTTTGAACAACATGATCAGCAAAAGGATCTGCAATGGATTTAGAGCACCGGTTTAGCCTATTACCTGCAGCTGACACATTATATGCAAACACATATAAATTGCCAAATTGACCATTTAAAGCAGGCCACAAAGCTCAAGTTTGTGACCAAATGTGAGAGAGCGACATCAACTCCTACAGAATTAGGCATCTGATCAAAGTGCAGTTAAGCCTAAAATTCAATAATTAAAAGATACTTTGAAAATTCGCCATATTTTTGAAATTAGGAAATATACTCCTAAGATAACCGCCGAGACAAAGATTGAATCAGAAACTTTAAAATGATACACTGGTGAAAGATTTTTCTTTTGAGATTGGGAAGATGACAAAGGGAGTGTCACAATCTCCACTTGTGTTTACTGGAGAGTCTGGGCAGTGAAGTAAGGCAAGGGAAAAAAGATATTAGCATTGAATAAAAACATAAATTGTTGGAGGTGATATATTATGTATTTATAAAATCCAAGAGAACCTATAGATATATCATGAGAATTAATAAACGTTTAGCAACTTTCTGAAATTAACAAAGTCAAATTGCGTTTCTCTTCAGCAGCAGTAGTGTACAATGTTTTTAGATACCAATGACCTAAAATGGTATCTAAAACACATCTTTTGCACATCAGAATGAATCTCAAAAAATGTGAAAAAATTTATAGAAAGAAAACTATAAAATACTAGGATGCATTTTTTTTTTTTTTTTTTTTTTTTTTTTTTTTTTTTTCTTTTTGAGACGGAGTCTCGCTCTGTCGCCCAGGCTGGAGTGCAGTGGCCGGATCTCAGCTCACTGCAAGCTCCGCTCCCGGCGTTCACGGCCATCTCTCCTCGGCCTCAGCCTCCCGAGTAGCTGGACTACAGCGCCCGCCACCTCGCCCGGCTAGTTTTTTGTACTTTTTTTAGTAGAGACGCGGGTTTCACCGCGTTCGCCAGCGCATGGTCTCGATCTCCTGACCTCGTGATCCGCCCGTCTCGGCCTCCCAAAGTGCTGGGATTACAGGCTTGAGCCACCGCGCCCGGCCAATACTAGGATGCATTTTAAGAAACCTAAATAAATGAAGAGTTATACCAAGTTCATGTATTGGAAAATTCAGTATTCTAAAGTTACTAGACTGACCTATAGATGCAGTGTACTCCCATATATATACACACATATATACATATATATACACACATATACTTATACATATATGTATAAGACTACACATATATATGTATATATGTAGAGAGACCTCAAGCAACACAACAACATGAATTAAAACCAGACACAGAAAAAGATGGAAGATTTCACTTATCTACAGTTCAAAAATAAGCAAAACTAAACTATCGTGTTTAATAAAGAAAAGCATAAAAGTCTGGAGAATGATTCATTTTTGAAAATAGAAAGTCTTCTTTGCTATTGGGCTCAGGGCATGTTTCTCTCACCACAATCATGTTTACTCCTGTCTTCTTTGCCTGTATTCAGATGCAATCTACACTCCAATCAATAGCAATACTTGTATTTTTCAGGATTCTTCATCATCTGTCCTATTTCCTTTTACATAGAATTTGAGAGCATGCAGTTCTTCACAGGCATAAATGAAAAACCTTTCCTCTGTTCCCAAACTAAAAAGTATGTTTGGCTTCTCCTGGGGAGACCCCTGCTACCTTTTGCTGGAGGGTTTCCTTGGTGTCCTGTTTCTACTCTTACCTCCATAGGCTTCTTGGCTTTTTTCTCCCAACCTGCTGATATTGCCATGAAATTGGAGTGGCAGAAAAAGAGAGGCCATGTAAAGAGTCAAAGCTTACCAGGCTTGAAGTCAGCTTCTGAGTCAAATGGTAGCTCTGCTTCTTATTCTGACAGTATAACCTTAGACAAGTATCTAACGTCTTTTAGCCTCAGTTCCTCCATCTTAGAAATAAGGGTTATTATAATAATTTCACTACCTAGTATATGTGTATGTGTGGTTGGCAGTTGGTAGGGGCAAAATAAAGTAGCTGTTATTATATTTGTATAATTCTGTATTATTGCATATTTCATATATGCATTAGAGTCTAAGAGCCTTAGAAGCAGGTGCTGTATCTTATTTCCTTTGTGTCCCCCATGGCATCTTTGTTGTGATGGGCATTATAATGTCCTTATTGTTGAACACAAAAATGTAATTTAGTGCATAATTACTCAGCTTCCCAAAAATTTCATATCTGTTTCTTTAAACTGTTCATTTCCATAGCATTTTTAAACAGTATTTCTTTTTCTAAAGGCAGTGATTCTGTAGGATCTTTTAGTACCCTGTAGGATACTAAAGATGTGAAGACATTTACAAAATAGTGAAAGTACTAATGATTTCGTTGCAGATCAGCCGATGGCATAATCAGGGACTACCTCATGGTCAGTATTCAGTAGAGAATGCCATCTTGATCAAGAATGGCCAGCAGTGGCCACTGCTGATTGACCCACATAGGCAAGCTCACAACTGGATCCGTCAGATGGAAGGATCCAGGCTGCAGAAGCTCTCCATTGAAGACAGCAATTACACCAAAAAAATTGAAAATGCTATGAAGACAGGAGGGAGTGTCCTCCTGCAGGTAAGTGGGCAGTATGGCCTAATTTCCCTTGCAGCTGATACATATGTTGTATGCACTGAGCATAAAGGCTGAAAGTTTTCAGTGACACATAACTGTCGGGGAAAAAATAATAACAGACATACACACATATATACTTAGAGACAGAGAGTGAGTTTTCAATGCTCAGTTCTCTTACAGCTGTCTTTCACTGGAGTCCAGATATTTAATAAAAACTTAAATTTTTTAATTTTAATTTTTGTGGGTACATAGTAGGTGTATATAGTTATGGGGTATATGAGATGTTTTTGAAACAGGCATACAATGTGTAATCACATCATGCAGAACGGAGTATCCATTCCCTTGAGCATTATCTTTTCTTACAAACAATCCAATTATACTCTTAGTTATTTTTAAATGTACAATTAAATTATTATTGACTATAGTCACCCTGTTGTGCTATGAAATACTAGGTGTTATTCATTCTTTCTAACTCAACATTTAAATGTTTTAATGCTGCTTTTTTTTTTCCAACCAATTTGTTTTAAGATGATTTTTCTTATTTTTGTCTATTGGGTTTTTCAGAATCTCCTTGAGACATTAGCTCCAGGCTTAAAGGCAATTCTGAAAAAGGATATCTATCAGAAAAAAGGACACTATTTCATAAGGGTTGGTGACGCTGAGATCGAATACAATTCAAATTTTAGGTAATGTGCCACAGCTAAATTGAGTCAAATGTGTATACTTTTTAAGATAAATAATATCGAATGCCTTGTATTCAGTCCTGTTAAGCTTCTACATGGAGGAAAAAGTAAGATTGTCTTTGGAATATTCTTTTTGTTTTTGTGTTGGCAGAAGTATTCATCAGTATACAGAAAAGATAACCGATTTGTATCAAGTCACTCCAAACCAACACTTTTCAAACTGTGCATGATGAAACCTGTGGGTTTTATGAGGAGTCTTCAGAAGCTATGCAGAGAGGAGCAAGCGAGAAGCCTGGCTCTGCTTCCTCTGGAGAAGCTCTGTTTGTTCTGTTTGCCTAACATTTTATTTGGGCGACAAAAGTTTCTGCCTTTTTAAAACACACACACACACACACACACACACACACACACAAAATCTATATTTAATATCTAGAGCAAAAAGAGATTTTTGCCTAGGAAGATAAAAAGCATTATATCCATGTTCCCAGCAGTAAAGGGACTCCAGGAAATGGACTCGCACTAGCCAATTTCACACAGCACTGTTACATAGATTTGATTACCATAAAAATGTGACTCCCAAGAAGTAAGATGTTTGAATTGTTCATGGGCATTCTCTCCTTGTAGGCAAAGCCACAGGAAAGGCCATTTATAATAAGAGCCTTGCTGGGTAAGCAAGTAATTGGCAAAGGAAACTAGAAGACTTTAGCCATCATTAGCCTGGTGCTTTTAACTTATTCCCAGGAATTCTGACATACTGACTCCTTACCAAGCGGTGCTGACTCAAACCTGTTGGTCAGTGTGTCCTCTCCCCTGTGCAGGGCTGCAATCTCTCATGAAATTATCACTCCTTAGAATTCTCTCTTCTGTGGCCAGGCGTGGTGGTGCACGCCTGTAATCCCAGCACTTTGGGAAGCTGAGGCAGGTGGATCACCTGAGGTCAGGAGTTCAAGACCAGCCTGGCCAACATGGTGAAACCCCATCTCTATTAAAAATACAAAAATTACTCAGGTGTGGTGGCGCATGCCTGTAATCCCAGCTACTTGGGAGGCTGAGGCAGGAGAATCGCTTGAACCTGGGAGGCGAAGGTTGCACCTGGGAGCCAAGATCGCACCATTGCACTCCAGCCTGGGCAACAAGAGCAAAACTCTGTCTGAAATAATAATAATGATAATAATAATTCTCTCCTCTGTTAATAAAACAGTTTCCAAAGTACGTTCGTCAAAACATTTCCATGCTGTAATAGGTGTCACTCAAAAAAGAGATCCCAAGGCTTCTTAAAGTGGGCTAAAGGTAACAGTCCTACAGGACTTAAAACCCCTTTATTCACCAAACCCTCTCCAGAAAATAGTGTTGTATAGAATACACTTTGGAAAACACTGCATTAACCCATTCTTTTTTCTTACTGGATATAATTTGTTTGATTAAGTAACAGCGCTAAAAATGCTAATGAAGTAACAGTGCTAAAAATGCTAATTTTCCTGAGTAGATAACCCGGTCCCCATGTTAGGAATGTGTGTTGAGAAGGTGCTGGAGGGCACTGTTGTACAGGGCAGGCTTCAGTGATGGACCTCACTCTGTCACTTTCTGGCCATGTGATATGGGCAATTTATTTAATATCATTAAGCTTCAATTTCACTCTTCATAAAGTGGAATGAAGAATTGTCTCTGCTTTATTAATCTGCCCACTCTTCAGTATGACTGCCACTGACACCACCCTGCTCCACACCACCATCATTTCTCACATGTTACCCAGTCTCCCAGCTTCCCTCTTGCTCCTCTGCCTCTCCTCTCAGGCTGTTCTCAAGATGGCTGCTACATCTTGGGTACAAGGTTCACTGCTCAGGTGACGGATGCACCGAAATTTCAGACTTCACCACCATACAATTCATCCATGTAGCTTTACCCCTAAAGCTATTGAAATTTTTTTTTTAAATGATAGCTGCTAGAGAAGTCTGATTTAAAAAGACCTTGTCACTCCTCCAATCCCTCCATTGGCTTCTCAACTCACTAAGGGTAAAAACCATGGTTTTCACAATGATCTAGTGGCAAGTCAAAACTTCTACTGTTTAACATTTTCTGTACTCTGTCCTTATGTGTAAACTAAACATAGCATATACACAGTCTGTGGTTGTATTTTTTTAAGACTTCAATGCAAATGTATTCACATAGTATACATTGAAAGTGTACTTTGTATACAAAACTGAAAAACACTAAAAATCTTGTGTACTTCCAGGAAAAATGCTTTATGTATTTTTAAATAAATTGTTCATTTTTTTCTTCGATATGTTCTTTGAATAACTGGTGCCTTTCTCATGTTTAGGTTATACTTATCTACAGAAATAGACAACCCCCATTTTCTTCCATCAGTTTATAACTTTGTTACTATGATCAACTTCACTGTAACATTCCAAGGTTTACAAGATCAACTCTTGTCTACTGTGGTAACTCATGAAGTTCCTCATTTAGAAGATCAACGTTCCAAGTTACTGGAGAGTATTTCCCTTGATGCCGTAACTCTTGAAGAACTAGAGGAAAAAACATTAAATTTACTGCAGAAAGCACAAGGTAAGTCAAGATATTTAGTGATAGTAAGAGATCTTTGCAACGGGTAGAATAAAAAGTTATGAGAACCATTTTGAATTTGAGCCAAAAATAGCAAATCTCCATTTCCACCAGATAACTGATAAAGGTAGGTGAATCACCCCATTTCTAAACTTAAACATTGTGAATTTTGGTGTCCCTCAGTTCCACTTTTGCTTTAGCTCATTGTGTTGTAGAACATTTGCCACCCTGTAACTGGTATAAGTTGTAAGACAAATTTTACAGAGTCTAGTTAGTTCCCCCCATGTCTGTACTTCAGGTACAGACATCTGTTATAGGTCTCAAGTTAGATTACAGAGACTGAATGATTGGGCTTTCCCCAAGTATTAATTTTTAGACAGTCTCACTCCATCACCCAGGCTGGAGTGCAGTGGCGCAATCTCGGTTCACTGCAACCTTCGCCTCCTGGGTTCCAGTGATTCTCCTGCCTCAACTTCCTGAGTACCTGGGATTACCAGCGCATGCCACCACACCCGACTTAATAACTAAAAGATAATTTAAAAGCAAATAATCCAGTGACTTTTATATATCCCATTAAAACATGCTGTTGGCCAGGCACGGTGGCTCACGCCTGTAATCCCAACACTTTGGGAGGCTGAAGCAGGCGGATCACCTGAGGTCAGGAGTTGGAGACCAGCCTGACCAACATGGGGAAACCCCGTCTCTACTAAAAATACAAAATTAGCCGGGCTTGGTGGTGCATGCCTGTAATCCCAGCTACTCAGGAGGCTGAGACAGGAGAATCGCTTGAACGCAGGAGGTGGAGGCTGTGGTGAGTCAAGATGGCGCCAATGCATTCCAGCCTGAGTTAAGAAGAACGAAACTCCGTCTAAAAAAAAAAAAAGAAAGAAAAAAAAAAAAAAAAACTGTTAATTAAAGTAGCAGTAGAAATTATTTTCCTCTCCAGCACAAAAAAAATCTTTACTGCATCTAAACTTCAAGAAACATAAATTCCTGAGTCACACTGATGTAGGCCCCCTAACTCAACTGTGATAAAATACAGTTTATCTAACAATGGACTGCCTTTCTGTTTTAACTTGTGACTCATTGGAACTTGAAGGTTTCTCAAACACTTTAGTCCTCAAGAGTATGTATAGAAATCATCTGTAGAATTTATTACTTTTCTTTCTTTTTGAAAAATACAACTGCCCAGTGGCTACCGCCACAGACTTACTGAATCTGAACTTCCACACATTGGGCCCTGGCTTATGTTTATTTTTGAAGCTCTCTACACAATTATTATGTCCGCTTCTGATTACATATTATTTGTCTAATCTAAATCCCATGGTCTGAAATGCAAGTCCATTGTTACCAGATACTGTACTAAAACAAATTAAAAGCTAGTTTTTTTTTTAAAGGCAAAATTTTACCAATAGTAATAATTAAGAATGTAATTTTTGAAAGATGAGGAAACCAAGTTTGAAAGGGCATGAAGCACCCATACCTTGGGAGCAATATTGACTATTTCAAACATAAAAGAACCCAGGGAATTAAAAACAAAACAAACAAAAACTACTTGATGATGAAGTCTCACCGACTGAGCAATCAGAATCAGAAAGTGGAAGGAAACCTGAGTGCAGTAACCTCACAGTTCCTGCAGAGAAGCCAATCCATCCTGTTTGAAATTCAAAATGTATTTTTATTTTTTTAAATAGAGATTGAATTATTTCATTGCTTTCATCATCTTTTCTTATAATCTTAGAATAATGTTTTAGAAACTAATATATATTATATTCAAGAAATGTTTACCTGAGATTCAGCAATTCTATTTATTCTTTTTCTTAATTCCAGTAAAGGTAAATTTACTAGTTACTTAAAACACAGTATTTATAGTAGGATCCATTTCTCATAAACACACACACACGCATATTCTGTCTGTTTATCAATCCATTTACTTACCCTTCTATCTGCACGTATGTATAGAGAGAGATACTTCGGATGATGTTACCTATGTGTTAACACTGGAACTTTTGGGGCAGTGATGCCATGGGTCCCACTCCCACCCCTCACAGCCTGGGTCCACATTTGCCCGCTTGCCCCTCCTCTCAGCCAGCGCTCACAGGTGCTACTACGTGGTAGCCCATTCTTTATCATCCAGAGCTGGAACCACATTCACCGTGCTGCCTTGGACTTCCCGGAAGCAAGACAGATCTGTCTGTCTTGTATCAGTGCAATGCCTTGTATCAGTGCAGTGATTAATTTGAGCCATTCCCACATTGTGGTTACAAACCTTTCTCCACCGAAAGGATGTGGCTCCCCGCTGTTAGACATTTACCTTAATATTGACATTTCTTCCCTAACAAATTGCTGCAAGTAACAGCACCTTGCTGAGACGTGTGGCCGAAACAAGAATAACTTTGATGAGGAGTTCCAGTGTTGCCTCTGTAAGGTCTGCTAAGATGTGCAGAAAACACTGACTTGTTCAGCATGTTCTTAACCTTTAACAAAGAACTTACATTTTTATGGCATACAACTGCCTTGGTTTGGGGAAATGATGAAGACCTTAGGAGACTTTACATTTTGTTTAAAACCTCAAACAAACAAAAGCTTCAGTAGGGAGAGTAGTGGGGAGGGCATGCCTTTCCTCCTAGGATCCTCCTGAGTGTTGCTGCCTTAGCATGCCATTGTCTTAACCCAATTCCAAAAAGAGATATGTGTTAAATAGAGGATTTTTAAGACAAATAAACTCTATAACTCAATTTTTGCAACCATGTTTACAAAAAAAAAGAGCTCAAATTTAATTATATCTTATATTAGAAATACAGGCAAATCCTCATTTAGAAGCATATTTTTATTATGAAATGTTAAATACACATTTATGCCTGGAGGACCTGACTTTATTCCTTTTCAATGTTAATTATACCTAATAAGATGTTTCTTTATAACACATGAATAAATTGTGCTTCTAGTAATAAGGCATGGCTTATTACATGGACAAGGCTTCTGTATCTGTTTTTTTTGTTTTGTTTTTTGTTTTTTGGTTTTTGGTTTTCTTGTAAGACTGGAGCCATTGGCTGGTAACTCCTTAGGGAGCAAAACATCTAAGTATTATATAATATACATAGAAGGTGACCATCAAGATTCAGAAGCACAGCCACTCCCATTTTATGAACCACTCATATAACAAGTCATATTTTGCTATAAACTTCACCTGAATTGAACAAAAGATGGATTTCGTGAGCTAAGTGAAAAGGTGTTTAAGATAACACTCATTAGGGCACTATATGCTTTTATTGTGCCTTTGCTGTTTATTCTCTACCATTTGTTCCTTGTGGTAGAGTCTGGGTATTTTTTAAAGACTGTGATCTTTGAGTAATAGTGGTTTCCGTAAAAATTGTTCTGGAAAAAAACTAAATTAAGAGACACCTTGATTATATGCATAATTTTTCCTCCTCCTTTCTAGGATTTAGTAAAACTAGGCTTTTTGTTTGTTTGTTTTTTAACTTTTAAGTTCAGGACTACAAGTGCAGGTTTGTTACATAGGTAAACTTGTGTCATGGGGGTTTGCTGTACAGATTATTTCATCACTCAGGTATTAAGCCTAGGACCCATTAGTTATTTTTCCTGATTCTCTCCCTCCTACTACTCATCACCCTCTAATAGGTTCCTGTATATGTTGTTCCCCTGTATATGTCCATGTGTTCTCATCATTTAGCTCCTACTTACAAGTGAAAACACGGAGTGTTTAGTTTTCTGTTTCTGTGTTAATTTGCTGAGGATAATGGCCTCCAGTTCCATCCATGTCCCTGCCAAGGACATGATCTTGTTCTTTTTTATGGCTGCATCGTATGTACCACATTTTCTTCATCCAGTCTATCACTGATGGGCATTTAGGTTGATTACATGCCTTTGCTATTGTGAATAGTGAAAACTAGCCATTCTTATGTTTATTTATTTATTTATTGAGATAGTGTTTCACTCCATTGCCAGGCTGGAGTACAGTGGCACAATCTCGGCTCACTGCAACCTCCACCTCCCAGGTTCCAGCGATTCTCCTGCCTCAGCCTCCCAAGTAGCTGGGACTACAGGCACGCACCACCACACCCATCTAATTTTTGTATTTTTAGTAGAGAAGCGGTTTCACCATGTTGGCCAGGATGGTCTCGATCTCTTCACCTCGTGATCCGCCCTTCTCGGCTTCCCAAAGTGCCGAGATTACAGTTGTAAGCTACCCACTGCGCCTGGCCGAAAACTAGCCATTCTTATTGCCTCTTATTTTCTCTTTGGTGTGACTGCCCAACCTTTGTGGGAAATGGTGTGATAGGGTGAGTACTGTGAGAGGTGGTCCATGACTTAGGTCCAGACATTCCTGTAAAAGCTTCACCTGCATCAATAAGAATATGGTACACAGATTGTGGAATATACTAATTTCATTATTCCCAGCAATAGTCATATCAAGCTGAAATACTGAGTTTAGTTCTGGATGCCACATTTTTAAAAGGCTCGTTTCAAACTAAAATGTGTCCAAGGGCAAGAATCAAAGAGGGCTCTAAAAATCATATCATAAGAAAAAAGCAGTTGAGGAAAATGTGGATGTTTAGCCCATAAAACAGAAGAGTTTATAATGGAAACCTGAGAGCTCCCTTAAATATGTGAAGGGAATAGATTTATTATTTGTACTTTCTAGAAAAGTGCTTTTTCAAAAGGTGAGTTGCAATCTGTTAGTGGGTTGAGAAATAAATGTCATTGGCCATGATCAGTTTCATATGTTTAATAAAATAGAATACAAAATATCAGAACACATCACATGAAATAATGGCATACTTGTTATTTTTTGAAAATTGATTTTAATATTCTGTGTGTATAGTGGGTCATACTGTAAATGTATTCCTTATCATGGAATGGTTACTTATTATATGCCTGTAATAAAAATAGGATCCACCAATACTAAAGTAATATAAAGAAGAGATGAGGGAGTGGGAAGTGAGGTGTACATACTATTAATCAAAATCTTTTTTTTTTTTTTTTTTTTGAGACGGAGTCTCACACTGTCACCCAGGCTGGAGTGCAGTGGCCGGATCTCAGCTCACTACTGCAAGTTCCGCCTCCTGGGTTCACGCCATTCTCTTGCCTCAGCCTCCCGAGTAGCTGGGACTACTGGCACCCGCCACCACGCCCGGCTAGTTTTTTGTATTTTTTTAGTAGAAACGGGATTTCACCGTGTTAGCCAGGATGGTCTCGATCTCCTGACCTCGTGATCCGCCTGTCTCGGCCTCCCAAAGTGCTGGGATTACAGGCTTGAGCCACCGCGCCCCGCCTCAAATTCTTATTAGAAATATTACCTAACTTCATTTAAGAGCCCATGTCGGACATAAAGCCAGTAAGAAGCCAACAGTAAAAACCCTTACACAAAGAGTGCAGAGTGAGGAAATAGCCACTTACTGTTACAGTAGTCTTTATTTAACTTCACTTTTTGTTTATCTTTAGGATACGCGTTAGATGATGAAGAAATTATAGATACTTTAAGAAAATCCAAAATGACATCAAATGAAATTTCAAAGCGCATTGAAGCAACAAAAAAAGCTGAAAGTGAAATCCAAGCAATACGTAAAAACTATCTCCCCATTGCAACCCGAGGTGCCCTGCTCTACTTTCTAGTAGCTGGTCTCACGCAAATCAACTACATGTACCAGTTCTCCCTAGACTGGTTTCATCAGGTTTTTGTTTTGTCAGTAGTTTCCAAAAGCAAAGAACAAGAACATAGTTTTAAAAGGGAGAAAGTGTCTCCAAAAGAAGTTCATGAGATTATAAATATTTCAAAAGAACCCAACTTGGAAAATGAGAAAAATCTCTTAGATAAGCATATTAAAAGTGCAATGGATGTGTTGACAAAAAGTATTTTTAAGGTGAGACATTCTTTAGTGTGGATTTTACTTGTTTATTTAATCTCACTGGATTAATATGTTATATTTTCCCTATAGGTGGTTTCTTCAGCTCTATTTAATGAAGATAAACTTTGCTTCTCTTTTCGGCTTTGTACTGCAATCATGCAAAATAATGCTAATGGAAATCTAATACAGGATGACATTGGATTCCTACCAGAAGAAGAATGGAACATCTTTTTATATTCTGGCATATTGATAAATATTAAAAGTGCATTATCCCAGTCTAGACTTACTAGTAAGTAAAAGTTATTATTCTGGATTCCGTAAAAGTCCATTAAAAGTGTGTTTCCTTCCACTAAGGTGCTCCAAGTCAATGCCTCTATAATTGATTAAAGTAAAAGTAGCTTGAGGTCAAGCACCTCCACTGTTACTCAATAATTTTTTAATGAATGAATGAATATATAAATGATAATTGCTATGATTATTATAATCCTAATCTACAAAGCAGAATATCTAATGGTAGTCAACAGGAGCGCACCCAAACATAAACACTGATTGGATACCTTCAGGAGTTAAAACTTCCCCCACCCCTAATTACAGTTGCCCTCATTTTCTTATGAAAACTTGGTTGAAAATTTGAAACGCAAAAGTCATGTTTATCCAAAAAGGTTAGACACAATTATTTAATTATTGAATCTTTTAAATGTGTCTATGTTGTATTTTTATTATGTTTATTATCTAAGCTGTGGTCAAATACATATAACATAGAATTTATCATCTCAATTTTTAAGTGATATTAAATACATTCATGTTGTTATGCTGTAATTTGTAAATTTTAAGTCTGCAAAATGGCAGAGTAGGATGCTATAGGCTCCCTTCCTTCACAGAGATACCAAGGTAACAACAATATACAGATCAGAATACCTCTGCGAGAACTCTAGAGATCAGTTGAGAAGCTACAGCATCCAGGCTATTGTAAAACCAAGAAGAGACTCCAGTGAAAGGGGTAGGAAATTTTGCATCATTTGACACATGCCTATTCATGCCCCTCCCTCTTTGTGGTATAATGTGGAACAACTGACAGGAAATACCCCATATCAGAGCTCTTCCCTCAGATAGAAACAAAAGAGTAGACAGTGCATCCAGTGTTCTGGCTTGTCTAGGGGCCTCCCAAGGGACTGGTTTTCGTCTTGCCTGACTCAGAATATTGGCAAGACTGGCACTGGAGTTTGGAAGCCACTAAAATCCAGATGCAAGCAGCACATTAGATCTACAGTTTCACAGGGAGAAATTAGGGGGAGCAAGGGATTGGAAAAGGTTAAAAAGGTCTTAGAACCTCCAACTAGGCTGGTTGGTGAGGGTTTTCCCCTGCACAAAGCCAGTACCAAAGACTGGGAAAGGTGGTTGTTTTTTCAGATGCCAACCCCGGAAAAAAAGATATTAAGGCAAACAAAGAAACAAGGGGAAATGGTCCAATCAAAGGAACAAAATGAAGCTCCAGAAACCAGTCCCACAGAAATGCAGATCTATGAGCTGCCTGACAAGGAATTTTAAATAACTGTCATAAAGTTGCTCAGTGAGCTAAAATAAATAAATAAATAACAGAGAACTAAATAAAGTCAGTTAAATGATGCATGAACAAAATGAGAATATCAGCAAAGACATAAAAACTATAAAAAAGAATGAAACAAATTCTGAAGGTGAAAAATGCAAAAACTGAACTGAAAAATTATTACAGGGGTTCAACAGCAGACTTAATCAGACAGAACAAAGAATCAACAAACTTGAAGACAGATCATTTGAAATTATCAAGTCAGAAAAGCAAAAAAAAAAAAAAAAAAGCTAAAAATTTAAAAAGCAAAAAGAGCCTAAGGGACCTATAGGATGCTATTAAGTTGACCAATATATGCATTATGGCACTCCCAGAAGAAGAAAAAAAGAGAGAAAGGAGTAGAGAAATTCTCTGAAGAAACAGTCGCTAAAAACTTCCCAAATCTAAGGAAAGAAAAAAACATACAGGTTCAAAAAATTCAAAGAACTCCACTAGGATGAATCCAAAAAGAAACACAGCAGACACATTATTATCAAACTGTCTAAAGTCAAAGACAATGACAGAATCTTGAAAGCAGCAAGAGAAAAAGTTATTTGTACATACAAGGGAGCTTCTATATGATTACCAGTGATTTCTCAGGAAAACCTTTGCAAACTAGAGGGAGTGAGATATATATTCAAAGTGCTAAAAGAAAAAAACTCTCAACCAATAATACTATATGTGTCAAAACTGCCCTTCAAAAATGAAAGAAAAATTAAGATTTCTCAGATAAACAAACATTGAGGGAGTTTATTACCACTAGAAATGCTCTCCAAGAAATGCTAAAGAAACTCCTTTAAGTTGAAGCAAAAGGATAATACACAGCAACATGAAACTATATGAAAAATATAAGGTTCTTCAGTAAAGGTAAATATGTGGAAAAAGATAATAACCTGTACTATTGTAATTTTGGTAAATGTAACTTAAGTTACAAAAACATTTTTTACTCTATAATTATGTTAATGGGTATGCAATATATAAAAATGTAACTTGTGATATCAATAACATAAAGGGGGGGTGCTAAAGCCCTAAATTAGTAGATTTTGGTTTTTTTGAAGGCATAGTTTCACTGTCACCCAGGCTAGAATACAGTGATGGGATCATAGCTCACTGTAGCCTCCAACTTCTGGGCTCAAGTGATCCTCTCACCTCACCTCCCAAGTAGCTGGGACTGCAGGCACATGCCACCATACCCAGCTAATTTTTAAAAATTTTTTGTAGAGATGAGATCTCATTATGTTGCCAGAATGGGAGTAGAATTTTTGTATGAGACTGAAGTTAAGTTGTTGTCAGTTTAAAATAGAATGCTATAAAATTAAGATTAAACTATGTAATTGCAATAGTAACCACAAAGAAAATATCTATAGAATATGCACAAAACAAAATGAGAAGGGAATCAAAGTATATCACTATGAAAATCAACAAAATACCGAAAAAGGCAATAAAAGAGGACAGGAAGGAAGAAAGTTACAAGACATACAGAAAACAACAAATGGCAATAGTAATTCCTTCCCTATGAGTAATTACTTTAAATTTAAATGGATTAAACTCTTCAATAAAAAGGCACAGATTGGCCGAATTAATTTAAAAAACAGTATCTAACTATATGCTGTCTACAGGAGACTCATATCTAAAGAAACACATAGGCTGAAAATGAAAGAATGGAGAAAAATATTCCATGAAAATGGTAACCAAAGAGAGTAGGAGTGGTTATAGTAATATCAGATGAAGTAGACTTGAAATCAAAACTGTTACAAAAGACAAAGACAGATGTGAGATAATGATAAAAGGGTCAATTCACCAAGAAGATATGTAGTAATAAATGCTTATGCACTAAACCTCAGAGCTCCCAAATACATGAAGCAAACTTTGACAAATTAAAGGGAGAAATAAGACAGCAACCCAATAATAGTAGGAGACCTCAGTACTCCATTTTCAGTACTGAATAAAACAATGAAACAGAAGGTCATAAGAAAATTGAACAACATAGTAGATCAACTGAATCAAACAGACATACACAGAGCTGTCTTCCCAATAACAGCAGGATGTACATTCTCATTAAGTGCACATAAACATTCCCCAGGATAGACCACATGCTAGACCATACAACAAATCTTAACAAATTCAAGAAGAAGTCATACCAAGTGTATTTGCCAAACACAATGAAATGATACTAGAAATCAACAGAATGAAAACTGAAAAATCCACAAAGATGTAGAAATTAACACACTCTTAAACACCCAGTAGGTCAAAGACTAAATCACAAGGGAAATTAGAAAATACTTAGGGACAAATGAAAATGCAACATATTAAAACTTAGGGGATACATTGAAAGCAGTGCTAAGATGAAAGTTTATAACTGTAAATACCTACATTAAAAAAGAAGAAAGTGTACATAACTTTTACCTCAAGAAACTAGAAAAACAACATATTAAACCCAAAGCTAGCAAAAGGAATGAAATAATAAAGACTAAAGCAGTGATAAACAAAATAGAGAATAGAAAAAGAATAAACAAAACTAACGATTGGTGTTTTGAAAAGATCGACAAAATTTGCAAACCTTGAGCTCAGTTAACTAAGAAAAAAAGAGAGAAGATGCAAATAATAAAAATCAGGAAAGAAAGGGACAACATTAAAGTAGATGCAGAGAAATAAAAAGATTTCTAAGAGACTACCATGAACAATTGTATGCCAATGAATTGGATAACCTAGAAGTAATGGATAAATTCCTTGTAGTCTGCTGAGACTGAATCATGAAGAAATAGAAAATCTGAACACACCAATAACAAGGAGATTGAACAGGTAATCAAAAACCGCCAAAAAAAAAAGCAAATTTTAGGACCAGTTGGCTTCATTGAATTCTACCAAACATTTAAAAATTAACATAAATTTTCCTGAAGCTCTTTCAAAAATTGAAGAGACAGAAACACTTTCTAACTCATTCTGTGAAGCCAGTATTATTCTGATACCAAAGCCAGACAAACATACTACAAGTAAACTACAGACCAATATTTCTGAATAACATTGATGCAAAAATCCTCAGCAAAATACTAACAAACCAAATTCAACAGCACATTAAGAAGATTGTACACCATAACCAACTGGGATTTATTCTCAGTTTCACAACAGTATTAATATCTTTAACACTACCAAAGTGTACACTTAAGAATGGTTAAGATGGACTGCGTGTAGTGGCTCATGCCTGTAGTCCCAACACTTTGGGAGGTCAAGGTGGGAGGCAGATCACTTTAGGCCAGGAGTTTGAGATCAGCCTGGCCAACATGGCAAAAAATACAAAAATTAGCCGGGCATTGTGGCACACACCTGTAATCCCAGCTACTTGTGAGGCTGAGGCACAATAATCGCTTGAAACCAGGAAGCAAAGGTTGCAGTGAGCAGAGATCGCACCACTGCACTCCAGCCTGGGTGAGAATGAGACTGTATCTCAAAAAACAAAAACAAAAAAAGGTTTAGAATGATAAATTTAGTTATATTTTTACCACAATAAAAACAATTACCTCTTATGTAATTTTTACATAAAGTAGCTTTCTGTTTTATTTATGTAAAATATAGTTTTATTTCTATAAAATAGTTTTTATATGAAATAGCCTAGCAGGACATCTTTGTCAAGTATCTACTTTGTAATAAATAACTAAAAGGTAAAGGGCTTATCTCTTCTAATGTGATCATTTTTCTTTTTTTATTAGGCACATTTGAAATAGATGAAAGTCAGCATCTTCAGTGGCTGTCAGATTCTAGATGGAGGCAGTGCCAATATGTCAGCGCTCACCTGGAACCATTTTCACTTCTGTGCAAATCCCTTTTATCAAATGTATCACAATGGGATACTTTTAAGAACAGTAAAGCAGTTTATTCTCTGATCAGCACACCTTTCTCTTCAGAAAATGCTTCATTGGAGGAAAATACAAAACCACCAGAGGAGAGTAAGAAAGCATTCAATGTTTTAACCTAACTTAAGTACGTGTGTAGGTGTATGGATTTTCAATTTGTAAATGTCGTACAATATCTTACATTATGAAAAAAATGAAGGGAGGAATATAACTCCATTTTAAGCATGCACATGTTATTCAATATAATCCTCATAACAATCCATGAAAGGATTATAAAGAACTTCATGAGAAAATCTGATTAGAAATCAGAATTTCAGAGAGATTAAATATACCACACTAGTTTCATTACACCATGCTAGTTCGGAATCTTGGATCTGAACAAACCTACATATATTGTTCATTTTAACAAATGTGTATTTTTAAAATTACATGGGAAAGGATCTTACCTTAAATTCAAATGACTTACTATTTTTAGCACATCTTTTTCTTTTTCTTTTTCCACTTCGAACTCTCCTTCGTTTTTCCCTACTACCTTCACTCATAACACCCCCACTCAGAATACAACCTAATTTGTTTCCTTCCACATTTTTCTCTACTTCACTTCCTGATTTTTGCCAAAATAATTATATTATGCAATAACATAAACATCCTTATACATTTTTCCTTTGCTTTTATTTCTATAAGATAAATAATCAGAAGTGGAATTGCTGGAACAAAAGGAAATTATTTTTATGTTAACAGTTGCTGCCAAGTTGCTTTCTTTAAAAGTCTATGATAATTTATATTTCCACCAGCAATATGAATGCCCATTTTCCATAGGAGTATTGATTTTTTTTTAATTTTGCCCATCTGAAAAGCTTAAACTCCCATTAGTGTTATAGATAATTCGCTTTTGTCTTATTATATGTATTAACATCTATATTCAAATATTTTTCTGAATTTTTTATTGTCTATTGAATTTGTTTTTATAGTACCTATGCTATATGTGTTTAAATGTTTGTATAGTCAATTATGTCTATTTTTTTCTTTTATACATTCTTGATTTCAAGTTCTTATTAAGGTCTCCTCCTCCTGTAGAGTTTTCTCTTTGAGTTGTTATCATTTTATTTTGTTGCATTTATCTCTAATATATGTGGGACCCATAATTTATTATACTGTAAGAGTCAGCAACTTTTATTTAAAAGAATTCTTTATTGACCCTTTTTGTAAAGTGAAGATCTTTTTATTTTGCAAATAACCCCAAATTATCCATTTATAACTATACCTTCATGTATCATGAACTTTTCTTAAAATCAACACATCAATATTATCTGCATTCAAAAAAGTCATTTCTATAACCTAATTTGTATTTAAAGTTAGACATTGGGAAAATACCACAGAAATAAGAGGTAAGTAGAAATGATAACCGTATCCAGGACAGCTGGAAATGAAGACTAGAAGACTTCCCACCTTGCAAAAAATTGTAATCCAGTAGGACTCTATTGTGGTGGTAAGAGGGGTCAGTATTAAATATATGTAGATAGATATAATATTTAATTTTTCAAAAATTTGATAATCTGGTTGCATTTCCATTTGATTCTCATTTCCCATATCTGTTATAGCTGGATGAATAGAAATCTCCAACCTCTACTCTTATTAGTTTATATTCATCAGAAAGACACCACATATACAGGAACAGGTTATAATGTGTTGACTGGCTGTGCCTTTGGCTTCTCATTTTATTTCTTCGTCTGTCCATCATCTTCTTATATTACTATTCATTCACCACTTCAGTTGGTCCAAGTTGAAACTTAAATCTGTCTTAATGTCTCCGTCTTTTGAGGTGTGAAGCGCAGCTAGTGATGCCGTAAAGCTTACGGAAATAAAGCTCACTTTAAAAGTCAGCCATGTTGAGAAAAAAAAAAACTTCATAAGTTTATGACAGAAATGTTCATTGTGATATCTTTTAATGATAAAAAGTATTTGACTGTTAATCCCAGTTTCTTTCTCTAAATTATATCTAGCTGAACTTTTGAATGAAAATAAAGAAACATGTAATCCTATAAATTTTCCCTGGGAGAAACTCACTTCATTTCAAAGACTTATTTTGGTAAGATATCTTATGCGGAAATATTAATATTCTAAATATTTGAGTGCTTTATTAGTAACTTAAGCCCTTCAAAATTAAAATTTTACAAGTAAAAGGTATTTTTAAAGTACATTTTGTGAACATTAATGTGAGAGGGAAACACCTACACCTCCCCTTAATGCTTCTTTCATATGGAGAGTCCAATGTGAGGAACATTCCTGGAGTCCCTCTGTCCCCTCATTTGTTCTTCCCTAGAGAGGAGGACTCATAGCCCTGTCCCTTTTGGGATTTGTCTGCCTATAATGAGCATACTTTCTGGCTGCTTCTCCATGCCATAAACCATACAGGAACAGACCTTGGTCCTATAGGGAGAGGCCAGTGGCTGACCAGCACTACTTGTGACAGGTAAGTCTGTCTAATTCTAGACTCTGTATCAGGAAGCACATTGTTGCCTCATACCTAAGCCACATCCACCAGCATGACCTTTATTATTAATAAAATGATATTTTTGCCCAACACCTCTATTTCTCAATTGTTTCAGAACCTGGCTGAGGGTAGAGGTGGTTGGATTATGGGTATGCATGGGTGTCATTTATTAGCACCCCTAACACATGAAGAATTTAGTATGTGTTAAGCACTTTACATATATTATTCCAGTTAATACTTATAATAGTCTTGGAAGGTAGGCACAATTATTTCCCTCATTTTACAGATTAGGAAACCAAGGTTTATAAATTGCCTAATAGAGCCAGGTTGAATCTCAGACAGCTTGGCTCTCATATCTGTGTTCTTGGTAGTCATACTATATTATACTTTCCAGGATAGCTTATCCTAAATTCATCTTTATTGTCTTAAAAAAATCTTTATTTTGACATTTATTCCCTAATTTAGTGAAGGGAAAATCTCTCACCTCATTTAAATTCCTTAAATTCTTAATTTCCTGAAATTCTTGAAAATGCTAACCTGGACAACCAGTAATCCTTTTGATTTCTGCCTTAAACTTTATTTTTGCAACACTTTAAAAATTCTCTCTATGTAAAGATTGCAAAAATGACTGCATCTGGCTTATAAACATGTTTTATTTGGCCTGAAGTTTTGATTTTTTGCAACTTTTCAGGTGCAATTTATTACTAATCAAATGGATTTGAACCTGTGATCTTGCTTAGAAGATTTCTGTCTTAATTCATTTGGGTTGCTGTAACAAAATAGATTGCTAAAACCCAATAGATTGGGTAATTTATAAACAACGGAAATGTACTGCTCACCACGCTGGAGGCTGGGAGTCCAACATCAAGGACCCAGCAGATTCAGTGTCTGGTGAGGGCTTGCTTCATGGGTGGCATCATCTTGCTGTGTCCTCACAACAAGAAAGTCTTTTTCTTTTCTTTTCTTTTTTTAAATTAGGTCTCACTCTGTCATCCAGGCTGTAGGGCTGTAGTGCAGTGGTGTGATCGTAGCTCACTGCAGCCTGAAACTCCTGCCTCAGCCACCTGAGTAGCTGAGACTACAGGTGTGCATCACCATGACAGGCTAATTTTTTAAGAGATGAGATCTCACTATGTTGCCCAGGTTCCTCAAGACTTATTTATAAGGGAGCTATCTTTATAAGGGAACTAATCTCACCCTCATGACCTAATCCTCTCCTAAGTTTCCACCTCTTAATACTGACACATTGGAGATTAGGTTTCACCATACAAATTTGGAGGAGACACCAGCATTCAGACCATAGCAACTTCTAAGTTTTTAAGCAAAAATAACTAAAATAAATATCATATATTTTTTTAAAATTATATATATACATATCTTGAAGTGAGTTGTTTTCTGGGTTTATTGTGATAAAATATAGATACATTATTTCATTTAATCTTCATAATAATCCGTTTTAACCCTTTAAGCATGCAATTCGGTGACATTTAGTATATCTACAATGTTGCATAACTATCATCCTCATACCTTTCCAAAACTTTGTCATCGTCTTAAATAGAAATTCTGTACCTGTTAAATAATAACTCCCCAGTCTCTCCTCCTGACAGTTGCTGGCAACCACCATTCTGCCTTCTGCCTCCCATCATGCTTATGTCTGGCTTATTTCACATAGCATGATGTTTTCAGAGTTCATCCATGTTGTACCATGTGTCAGAATTTCCTCCCATTTTAAGGCTGAGTAATATCCCATTGTGTGTACATATCATGTTTCATTTAGCCATTAATCCATTGATAGACAACAAAGGTTTGTTTCTGCCTTTTGGCTATTGTGAAAAATGCTGCTAGGAACATTGATACACACATTTGTTTTTTGTTTTGGTTTGAGTTTGGATTTTTTTTTATTTTTGAGCCAAAATTTGAAAATTGAGAGATTTCAAGTAAAAATCCAGATTTCTGGCCTTAGGCGACACTGAGCCCACATTCCTCAATGGCAGCAATAGCTAGAGCTGAGTAGTGTCTGTCCCTTCGGCCCAGTGCACTACAGTCTTCACTGCTCCCTGCTACTTCCTGACACTGCAGTTGAATGTTAGTTGCCATTTGCAAATATGATGATATTTGCATCTTTATTTTTCTTTTAGAAGAGGATTTTCTTCTTCTATCCAACCCACTTCTCTAATTTTTGTTATCTACCTGACTACTTTAGACAGATTGATACCTCTACTCTACATGTGGATTATTGACATAGTCGTGACATGAAAATATATTTAAGCTATATTAATTGACAAATACAAAATATTGAACAATCTGTACAGAACAACTTCATTTGTGGAGAAAGGGAGGGGGGTGGAGAGATGCCTGTATATGTGTTGAAAATATCTAGGAGGAGCCATAAGAAACAACATATCTGGGGATATATCTGGGGAGTAACAATACAAGAAACAATGTATCTGGGGAGTAAGACCTTCACTTTTTCATTTTTAGCTTTTTGCATTGCTTGAATTTTATGTAGCAAGGATGAATTACCTGAACAACAAAAATAACTAGATTTCAAACCTGTGCCACATTACCTTCTCCCAGTAAGTTCCCAGTGATTTTAGTTTATGAACTAGAAATTTTATGAGTATAGTGATCCTATCTTCCAAACCAGAAGTTAGAAGTCATGGTCTGATCAAGTGTTGAGTGTATGCATAGGAAAACAAAGTTAGATATTTAAAACTGAGCCTGACCTGTAAGAGTTAGAAATTGAGCTTGTCACATAAAAGATTAAGTTAAAATATATTAGAAAGAAGCTTGCCCTGGAGAAGGAGAATTTCTCAGAGTTCCATGAGGACAAGGACTTTGCCTAGCTTTTCACCCCTCGCCACTGCTATAGCCTATTGGACTGAAAAGAGGGTGTGAAAGAGGACAATGAGGGGATATAGACATGCAGAAAATTTTCAGAATGATTTGTGGTTGCTTAGGAGTTAGTGAAATTGAATTCAACAGAACTCTGTTTCTTCTACTTTCTCTTTCTCGCCTACCTCTAAAAAAAAAAAAAAAGCCTCAAGGTTTAAATTTACAACAGTGGAGAAATGTAACAAAATCTTGATTAATCAATAGAATAAAAAGAGGAGCTAGTGGCATGTTGGTGACAAAAAATTATGATGACCATTTGGAAGCATAGATTCTCGACAGTGATGGTATCGGGGAAACACCTAATCATTTGTTTCCCTCAATGATTCTAACACGGTCTCACTAACTGGATATTCTGAGTGAACTCTGCTATTAGACCTAGAGTCTTTGTGTGCTGCCTATTTTCATTTTTAAAAATATATGATACATATAATTAAAAGAAAATTTTAAGAATAATTTTTCCAAAACATAACAGAAAAGAGCAGAATTCAGCATAATGATTAAATGTGCTATGTTAAATATATAAAATTGCCAATATTTGACAGTTTTTGAAAGGTAAAAATGGCAACTTCCCATGGTCCAACCTGGTACATCACACAGACACACAGACATGTGTAGCTTCAGTTTTGCTTTAAATGATGGAGTCCCAGATGTTGAACATGTTCAGGACATATTTTATGGTCATTAGGTAGAGAAATATCATGTAAGTGATTTATGTAAAACAGTTTTTATGAGAAAGGTCTTTCCTCTGAAGTTTGCAGTAATTTCCAGTATGCCCTGAACCTCTGTTTACTACACATTTACACTGTTTCCAAAATCTTTTAGTCCATCTAGCATTCTTTTCAGATTTGTATTCTAATTGCTTAAACATATAAAGATTGTGTCATTTGTTTTCATTTTATTAATGGAATAATTAATACTCTTCCAGTTGTGTTATCTTGGATTTTCTTCCCTCCAACACCATGGGGTTTTCTTGCTCTAGACATGTATAGCAGAGCAGGAAGAAAACCGAGGGGAAAAAAATTTCTTTTTGCAGAATTAGGGAGTATAACTTGGATCTTTACAAACAAAGCAAGAGCTCACTCAGAGTGTGAAAGAGATAGAGACACAAGGACACAAGGTAGCCATGGTAGCTAAGAAGGGCCGCATTATGGCCACAGGAACATGGTGTCAGCTTCCCCTCCATGCATAGACTCTCCCATTAAGCTTCCCCAACAGGAAAACTCTAGCTGTAAAGCTAAAAAATGAATACTTCTTATTTTTATTTCATTTTACCATAGGGAATATCTCCCTGGGCGGTTTTTAATTTTACCTTATCTTCCATATTTTCTTTTTTAGATAAAAATTCTTAGACCAGAAAGTTTAAATAATTCAGTGAGAAAGTTTATAACTGAAAAAATGGGAAATGAATATCTTCAAAGAACTGGAGTTAATTTGAAAGATGCATATAAAGAATCCAATGCCAGAACTCCGCTGATACTTATTCAGTCTCATGGTAAGCTATTTGTGAATAGTTAAGATGATCGATATGGTTTGGCTGTGTGTCCTCACCCAAATCTCACCTTTAATTGTAATCCCCATAATCCTCATGTGTCAAGGGCAAGAGCAGGTGGAGGTAATTGGATCATGGGGGTGGCTCCCCCCATGCTGTTCTCGTGATAGTGAGTGAGTCTCTTGAGATCCGATGGTTTTATAAGAACCTGGTATTTCCCCTCCTGGCACTCATTCCGTCTGGCCACCCTGTGAAGAAGGTGCCTGCTTCTCCTTTGCCTTCTGCCATGATTGTAAGTTTCCTGAGGCCTCCCCAGCCATGCAGAACTGTGAGTGAATTAAACCTACTTACTTTATAAATTACTCAGTCTCAGGTATTTCTTCATAGCAGTGTCAGAACAGACTAATACAATGATGATACAGTATCACCCAAGAGATATGGAGAAGTAGGTTCTGTGTCAGATTATTCTGTGTTTACAATATTTTCCTAGCCCTATTTAAAATTTTTGGGAAAGGAGTTAATTACAAGTTTTTACTAAGAATAAATCTCTCTAAAAATATAACAGAGGAATAAAACCTCTCAGATTCACAAATATGGAAAACTTTATCAGTGGTGATTTTCTGCACAGAAAATACCTTACTGGTCACCAAGATGGCCAAATAGGAACAGCTCCAGCCTCCAGCTCCCAGCGTGAGCGACACAGAAGACAGGTGATTTCTGCATTTCCAACTGAGCCTCCGCTGCTGATACCTAGGCAAACAGGGTCTGGAGTGGACCTCAAGCAAACTCCAACAGACTTGCAGCTGAGGGTCCTGACTGTTAGAAGGAAAACTAACAAAGAGAAAGGACGTCCACACCAAAACTCCATCTGTACGTCACCATCATCAAAGACCAAAGGTAGATAAAACCACAAAGATGGGGAAAAGCAGCGCAGAAAAGCTGAAAATTCAAAAAATCAGAGCGCATCTCCCCCTCCAAAGGAACACAGCTCCTTGCCAGCAACAGAACAAAGCTGGATGGAGAATGACTTTGACAGGTTGAGAGAAGAAGGCTTCAGTTGATCAAACTTCTTAGAACTAAAGGGGGAACTATGAACCCAGTGCAAAGAAACTAAAAACCTTGAAAAAAGATTTGACAAATGGATAACTACAATAACCAATGCAGAGAAGTCCATAAACGACCTGATAGAGATGAAAACGATGACACGAGAACTATGTGACAAATGCACAAGTTTCAGTAACAAACTCAATCAACTGGAAGAAAGAGTATCAGTGACTGAAGATCAAATGAATGAAATGAAGTGAGAAGAGAAGTTTAGAGAAAAAAGGGTAAAAAAAATGAACAAAGCCTCCAAGAAATATGGGATTATGTGAAAAGACCAAATCTACATCTGATTGGTGCACCTGAAAGTGACGGGGAGAATGGAACCAAGTTGGAAAACATTCTGCAGGATATTATCCAGGAGAACTTCCCCAACCTAGCAAGGCAGGCCAACATTCAAATTCAGGAAATACAGAGAACACCACAAAGATACTCCTCGAGAAGAGCAACTCCAAGACA